GCTGAAGCTGTAGCTGGTGCCTTTAAACTACTCTGAAGAGCATCAGAGTCGTAAAAGGTACTGCTAAAATTATTCAGGGCAGATAAGAGGCTGACAGCACTTTGCAGCCCATGATGCAACTGCAGTCACACACTCTGTGTTCCCCCAAGCTTTGAAACCTAACGTTTGTCTTGTTTTCTGTCTCTGTAAGTCTTTCTGCATCCTACTTGAAGAAGCTGAAGGAAAGGAGAGGCTAAGAATTTATTCAGAGCTCTTAAAGCTTGGTTTAGAGAAAGTACACTAAGCAGGTATACACCACGCAGTGTGATACAAAGAACCTTGAATGATTGCTCCAACCCACTTGTTTCTCCTCGAGACAGTAGTTTTTTCCAGGAGTATCCAAGATGTCCACATGAGGTAGAATATTGTGCATCTGTTGCATGGGTATTGATTGTAACTGGAAATTTCAGAGAGCTGTAAAAAGTCTGATCCTCAGCCATTGCACTGTACTCATTGCTCTCTATTAACTGCTCTTCTCCGTCCAGCTGGCCAGCCAGCCAGCAGGTTCTGATGTCAGCAGGATATGTGACTTTAAGACCTCAGAGAAATCTTATTTACCTTAATAAACTGATAGCAGATGCTTCCCAGAGAAAGGTAGATTGTTTCAGGAAATAGCTCATTGATTCTTTTGTATTATAAATGGCTCGAATCAGCTTACCTGACTCTTAGTGAGTACAGTTGGAGATGCCTGTGTGCCAACTACTGTTAGTCACATGCTTACCTAGCAGAGATTTCTTATGCTGGCCAAAATGCTTCGTGAGAAGTTGGTGTATGGTCTAAGTCAGTGTGCAGTGAAGATGACTACAGTTTGCTGATGGATATTGAGCAGTAAGACTGTAAATACGCAGCAGTCGTCAAATCATGTGGAATAAACAAGAGAGGAAGATCAGAGAATGAAATATTGAAAATGGGAATCTGGCCTAAGGTGCTCTCTAAATGAGCCATTGGGAGTGGGTTGGGTGATTGTCTTTCTACTTCTTCCTAAGAGTTTGGTGTGGCAGCAGTCTGCAGAGTGGGTGAGCATCTCCAGTGCCAGAAAGAAACTATGGGAGACTTGTTCTCAGTCGACTGACTTCTGGTTGCTTCCAAATCTGTGGCAGGCATCTCTAAACTGAGATGTTGAAAGTATTTAGTAGTCAATCTGTTCCTTAACAAAAGGCCTTATGCAGCTTTGCCTTGTATGAAGCCTCAAAGCTACAGGTCCTGCTTGCTTTCCAGCTCTGCCTCTGGTGCAGGTGTCTTGATACATGCGCTGGAGCTGGCAGTTTGCTGCTGGCAAACAGGACCTTTGGCTTGTGTTCAGTCCCTTCATCAGCAGGGATTAGCGTGCATTGCATCCAGGAGGAAATTAACCCCAAAAGCCTTTCCAGAGTGGAATGCTGGAGGGCTTGTCTGTTCAAGCCACTGAATGGCTGTTATGATTCCAGATATAATGACCAGCTGCAGTATAGCTTCTGGTAGAAGTTTGGCTCTGCTTTCTCTGCTGGCTGGCCACCATCCTTGCTTCCTTTGTACACTGCTGCTTCCAGCTGAGGTGGTTGTACTTGTGATTCAGGGGGAACAAGGCCTGTTCTGGGGTGTTCACGTGCTCAGCTTGTATTGATCCAGAGTACAGGCTGAGTGCTTTTAGCCTGGCTGAACCATTAGGGAGATGTAAAATAGTTACTGAGCAAACAAGCAACAGTGTTCCTGCTCGACACCCTTGATTACATGGCACCGTCACCCACAGACCCTGGGGAATGCAGCACCCTGGTTCCTCAGCAGGCATATGTAATGGGCTGTGTTTAAATTTGTATTCGGATACAACTCTCCTTTCCTCATTTGTTCCCAGCGTGGAGATAGGCGAGAGTGTACGTGGGGAGGACGTCTACATTGTGCAGAGCGGCTGTGGTGAAATCAATGACAATCTGATGGAGCTCCTTATCATGATAAATGCCTGTAAGATTGCCTCAGCCAGCAGAGTCACAGCTGTCATCCCCTGCTTCCCTTACGCTCGGCAGGACAAAAAGGACAAGGTAAGGGATCTGCTAAAGCTTCCTGCTCAGAAGATGAATGAAAAGTCCTGACTGCTGTGTAGGAATTAGATGAAGTTGAATATGTAAAGGAGGCAATAAAACTTATTTTAATTTCTTTAAACCTCAGGGCATCGGACTGCAAATTCATCTTTTCATAAAGAGCTAGTTCTTCTTGAGAATGCACCAAGCTGTAATCACCAGTTGATGAAAAGATGCAATGTAAATGAGTACTCCTTTTAGTAACTGCTTGTGAATCATTGCCTAGAAGTGGAAGACTGACATCTTGATGAAGGAGTTGAACTTGTCTTAAATACTGTTTTTTCCTGTACTAGAGTCGAGCTCCAATCTCTGCCAAGCTGGTTGCAAACATGCTGTCTGTGGCAGGTGCAGATCATATAATCACCATGGACCTGCATGCATCTCAGATTCAGGTAGGAGCTAAAATCAGGAAGTACTTACCTGCTCCAGTCTGAGCATCTTCACTGCCCTGCAGGATTTCCAGCAACCTGGATTTGTTTAGGCACAGCAGTGATCAGGACTTGGGAATGTGGGACTGGAAGGGACTTGTGGAAACAGTCAGGAGAGGATGGGGATATGGGTAACAGGTTCATCTGTAGATGAAATTACAGCTGTTCTTGAACAGACTGAGCTTATTGAGCCTTGTGTAAGGGAATGTTGGGCTAGTATATGATCCGTGCCACTTTTATTGCCACACAGTGACACTGTGTGTTCTTAGCTGGTCCTTTGAGGGATTTGAGGTGGAGAATGTCTTTGTCAAGAGAGTTCTTAAATATTTAGTAGAGCCTTTTGATATTTATTAAACTGTCAGGGAGAATCGAGCAGTTTAGCTCTGCCTGCAGGAGCACTGTCACAGCTGCTTGTGAGGGTCCAGTTTACCAGGACAGTGATCTGATAGCTTGCTGCTGTGACAGCATGGGCAATCCCACTTGTATCCATTCATTGCCACCCTTCCACATAAGTGGGTTTTGGTTCTTTTCCAAGCTGTTGGTGAGTTGAAAAATATTCATGGGTTTTACTGGCTTAGTGAACAGAACAGTCTCACAGAGCAATTGAAGTCTTGCCCAGAGCTGTGTAAGGGAAGTGGCAAGAGCTATACCAGGGAGAGGAAAGACAGCAAGCTGTTCCATTCCCAGTCTTGTTTCTTTTCACCTTGAGCAAGTGCTCTGAGACCAAGAAACCAACTCAGTGTAACAGAAAGGGGGAGAGGATATCTCTTGCATTGCTGCAAACACTTTGAATCCAGAAGGTATCCCCTGCCTGGTGAGGTAGGTAGGCTGGATGGAAATGCTGCAAATGCAGCCATTTGCTGCAGTGCAGTTTCTTCCAGTGTAATTTGCCCAGAAATACTTTGTCTCAGATAGAAATAAATAAAAATCTATGGGGGCACAGCTAAGAAGACTTTCAGAAAGATCATGGAATAAAAGAACAGAGCCCAAAGTGGGGGGGCGGGGGGAGGAGGGGAGAGCCTCTTCCTTAAGAGGCTTGGAGTTACCGTGTGTGCCATAGGGCTGACCTTTCACCAGCAGCATGGTGAGGTTCAGTTGAATAATTGGGTTTGTGTATATACACTTCCAGCATCTGGCTGGTTTCAGCCTGGTTCTTGTAGCTGCTGGGTTGCTGAGCACAGAAGGAATAATGGTAGGAAGGATCTGTTACTCCTATACCTTGACGTGTCCCTTTGGAGTAGCTGCCCCCACTCTCCTGACTGTTATTCTCTGTCCAGGATTAACTTCTAGCTTTTAGTGACCTTTGAGGTTTACCTGGAGGCATCTGCTGGGGCAGTGTAAAGTTGTGGGACCAGCATTAGTTTAAAAACAAATGTTACTCAAGCCTTTTCATGGGTTTCCTGTAGGTGCCAACAAATTAGGTAATGAGTTTTAAAGACTGACTCTCTAAATGGGCAGTTAGCTGCTCTGGAAATGAGTGTTTGCTGGTTTCTGCACCCCCTAAGGATAGAACTAGTTCCATGTTGTGAAGGTGTCAGATGCGTTACTTACGCTGCTGAACTATTTCTGGCTCTGAAGACTCCTTGCTTTACTGTTCTCTGGATCCCAAAAGATACTGCCCTTGCATTAAGGGAAATAGAAAGGAAAGCTGAAAGCTTCGGAAAGGAGGTGCCTGCATGCCTGATCATACAGAATACTTCTTCCAGCTGTTCTTGGAATGTGACCTTCAGCTACATCTGTTCCTGTTGTGTTCCCTGCAGGGTTTTTTTGATATCCCTGTTGATAACTTATATGCTGAGCCTGCTGTACTGAAATGGATCAAAGAGAATATTGCAGAGTGGAAGAACTGCACCATTGTTTCACCAGATGCTGGTGGAGCCAAGAGGTAAGCTGTCAGACAGCCAGCTCCAGGTGCTGCTTCTGGATGTACTTGAATTCCTGAGAGTGTTTGTCACCTTAGTCTTATGACACACATTCCCTCTGCTAGGCTGCCTTCTGTCAGGCAGTCTATGGCAGCTAGTAAAGAGTGGTCACATAGTCTTCCTAGGGAATGTTTAGAACATTTCTTGAGCTACACAGAGAATTAGACAGCTTCTAGAATCACAGCTGCACAGGTAGGAATTGGGCAGTTACTACATCCCTTGTGTTAAAACAATTTGTAGGAGGGTAATTATGCAGGTTGAAGGAGGGAATTGCGTAGTTCATACCCGAGACAAGGCTACTGCTGCTGGTTAATGATACATGTTTGTCCAGGCTGTTTTCTTTGCAATATTAAGCTGAGTCTGTCGAGGCACTTACTTTATTACTCTTGATTTTAATATCTAGCTGGGACTTAAGCTTGCTACTAGCAGGCTGGAAGCAAGGAAGATAGATGGTTCCTTTCCAAAAAGCAGCAGCATATGTTATAGCACATTTCTGCTTTGGTAGTCCGACAATCTCCCAGCTTTCAGCAGATAAACATGCCAGTTTGTGAGCAGTTCAGAATGTTCTTGGGTGCTTAGCAGGAGAAACTAGGCTGTTCCTTGATGCTTCTGTGTACGAGCTACATGTGAACAGCAGAGGAGTGGAGATGTATCTTTAATCCAGGATTGTAACACCAAAATGTTAGTTCATGCTGACCTGATTCACATACTTTAAAGTGATCTAAGCTATCTTACAAGCAGCCAACAGATAATTCCACTGTAGGTTGCTGTATGTCTTCTGTAGCTTTGTTGTGGCCCTTGTATTGGACAAGACAGTTTGTGTGTTCAGCCACTTCTGTAGCTTGTTGCATAATGCAATATATGAAATGCCAAGTCATCTGACTCCTCAAAAACCTCTTCAAAGGCCACTTAAACCGAGATGTGTAGATCTTGGCTGGTGTGACAGTTTATGGAGATACTCCAGAACTAAATAATTCAGAAAACAATTTAGTTTAACAAGCTTCTGTACCACTTCCAGGGTGATGAGTCTGATCTGCTGAGGCTCAGAGTCTGCTTATCTCAAGTGTAGAATTTCTTAGGGGCATGTGTATTTTGTTCCTTCTCACTCTTAATGCTTTTAGTCTCTTTACTGTTCATTAGTATCAATACATGAAGTTTAGGTCTCTCTAGTAAGGTTGTTCCATGGGCAGTTTAACCAAAGTAAATGTGAGGTGGTGGACTTGAATTTTCTTGGATGCTTATCTCTCCACTGTGCTTATGCCAGCACTTGCATGCATGATAACTGAATGAGTGTGAGTAGCACAACTGAAGCATTTCCAGTGTAGTGTTAAACAGATGGCAACTTCCCAAGCATTCTGATCACTTCAGGTTTGCCAAATTTGCTGACTAAGCTTTGAGCTACAAGTACAAACTAATTCACAGTGGTCAGGGTGAAGACTGTTTTATCTTAATCTGGTTGCTGTCATTGGGAAAGATCAGATCAGAGATTGCAGTTTAACTGCTTGAAGGGAAACTGAAGGTGGCAGAGAGACTTCTCCTGATTGCTTGGGAGCAGGAACAGATGTGGTGACAGCATCTCTTACTGCAGTGGCAGTTTGTACTTCATAGTTTTAAGAGATTCAGTTGAAGCTGGTGTGGAGTTAAGTGTTGTTTGGAAACTGTTCTCTCTTCAGAGTGACCTCCATTGCTGATCGATTGAATGTAGACTTCGCCCTCATTCACAAGGAGCGCAAGAAGGCAAACGAAGTGGATCGCATGGTCCTGGTGGGTGATGTGAAAGACAGAGTGGCCATTCTGGTAGATGATATGGCAGACACATGTGGTACCATCTGTCATGCTGCAGACAAGTGAGTAGGGCTGACTGATTCTTTCCTAAATCAGAAAACTATGGTTAGTGACAGCTATGGCATGAGTTGAGCAGATTATTTGCATGTCAGGTTTCACAGAGTATTTTAACAGTTTCTTGTTTATCTCATGTCACACACAATAAGTAAAAAGCCTGATGAAAGTTCTCACAGTGGGAATAGCTGGAAGACCATGGAGTCTTTTTTTTATCTGAAAAATGCCTGTGTTGAAAGTATGTCTTCCACTAGATCATCACTGGCTATGCAGGTAGAACTAAGTGCTATCTGCTCCACCAGCTTCAGGTCATACATGTGAATTTCTATTAGAAGTAAGTTCAAGCCTTCTACACTAGAAACACCAGCAAATATAACACTCAGTATTAACTACCTGCTACCTGTGTTGGCAAAAACCATGGAAGGTGATTTATATTACCTCGTCCAAATGTCCCAGGGCTTAGAACATCTTCTTTTTTTTGGTGTGTACTTTCTGTGGTGAATTTTATGGTGTTGTGAACTGTTCCCCTTTCCCCAAAACCAGTAGTGAGCTGGAGTGGGGAGTCAAAGGCAGCCTGTCCCTTAAGCACATGCTGTTGTCTCCTTTCATGCTTACAAAGTGCCTTGCATTAATATCAATTTAATACTTGCTAAGAATTTCTCATCCTTCTCCTTTTTCCCACCTCGTAGGCTCGTGTCAGCAGGAGCCACCAAAGTTTATGCTATCCTAACTCACGGGATCTTTTCTGGGCCAGCAATCTCTCGAATCAACAACGCCTGTTTTGAGGCAGTTGTGGTCACAAACACGATACCCCAGGAGGACAAGATGAAGCAGTGCCCTAAAATCCAGGTGAGCCCCTGCTTTCCCTTCTGTCACTCCTTAGGGAAGTCGTTAGGAACTTGGGAATGCCAGCTTCAGTTGTGCGGCTATCGCCTAATGCCCAGCCCTTGGAGCAGAGTGTCCCTTCCTTTTGTGAAGAAAAGTAGGCCTGCTGTGGGGAAGGTGGTTGCCTCAGGTCTGGTCTTAATAGCAGTGCCAGTGAGCTGGAGAGGGAGTGCAGTGTTGTCCCACAGACACATCTTGCTGGTCTGACCAAGAGCAGCTGACACAGCTCCACAATGTTCAGATACTTGCCAGAGATAAAAACCACTTTGCTGTCTATATGAAAGCTAAAAGCTGGTCTTTTGATGCTCACTCAGTGTCTTGGGTTTTCCATTTAGCAAAAAGTACTGTGGCGTTTTGTTTCCCAAGCCGGACTTCCCTGGGAGGAAAACAAATGTCTGCACAACCTGAGCTAGGCAGAACTTGAGGGTTTCCTGCGTTAATGGACAGCTGGAAGCTGCAGTTTTACCTGAGCATTCAGGTGTACTAGGTCCATCAGAATCTTCAGGTACTGCTATAGCATATACACAACCAAGGACATCCCAAGTACTAGCTTCACAGCACAGATATATAGGACACAGGCATTTGGAGAAGTTTTGGGAAGTGAATGGTACTGCTAAGGCTCAGCTAGTGCTGTAAGTGTAGCAGGTTCCTCAGTACCAGGGTTCTGGTGGAAAGGAAGCTCCGAAGGTTGAAGCTGCAGTGAACTGTAGGGGAATAAGCTATAAGCTGATGGCAAACTGCTATTGGGGTGCATGTTTTTCAGAACTAACCTCTGGATGATATTCCTGCAACTGAGCACATGTAAAATGTCTGATGCTTCGGTTCTTTCCAAGCTCCACACTACAGTTCATGTAGGCAAAATGTTAAACTGCTGTTATCAGTATTTAAAGAGCTGTAGCCAGAGATTGCAGTGAGCAGTTGCTCAGGCTCTCACCCAGCACCTCACTGGTTTACACTAACTTTTTATGTTCAGTGGTGAGAAATACAGAACTGAAGGATTTAAATCTCGTGCTCTGTCTGCTCTGTAGTTCTTAAGTTTCTTCCTTCATTTCCCTCGGATACAAACTACCTGGAAATGTTAAATGTGGATTTCACTTCGTTTTCTTAATGCACCATGAACATGGTGCTTCTTGCTAAGACTGCATACACCAAAATGCTTTAGCTGCTGGGGTTCAGAGCTAGAGTTCATCGAGGCTTGCTCTTGCCCTCCTGTTGACTGGGTTACCCGCCAGGTGGAGCTAGCGCAGAGATCTGAGCTGCAGCACCACTTCCTGTGTCTCAGGCTGCTGCTGGCAGTCATGGTAAAGCCTCTTGACTCAAGCGAGGCAATCTGGTCGTGATTTAGACTCCCCTAACTTCTCTGCAACCTACACAAAGTATATAAGATAGTCCTGGGATAAACTGACTGAGCTTCGGGAGTCTCAGCAAAGAAAGGTGACAGACTGTCATCCTGGCAAAGATTAACAGGAGAATAATTGTTGCTATATGTAGAATCTTCAGAATTGTATGTAATTAAATCTCAATCCTGTGTAGATAGAGATCATTTGCATCTGGCATGTTACAAGTTTGGGTGATGAGTTTACTCTTTAAGTTGTTCCCAACTCTTCCAGGCTTGATGTCTTTCCCCAGTGACACTGACACATCTTTCTTCCCCTGCAGGTGATTGACATCTCAATGATCCTTGCAGAGGCCATCAGGAGGACTCATAATGGGGAATCTGTCTCCTACCTATTCAGCCATGTCCCTTTATAACAAGAGATGTCAGCTGCTGCTTGTATGGCTTTTTTTTAAAACCAAAAGTTGTTCAGCTTGTTGTAAAGTTCAGTAGAAGACTCTGCTTGTTCCAGTGCAGTTCTCCACAGCTCCTCCTGCTTAAGTCAGCCTTACTGGCTCTGATCCCAGCACTGGGAGGCTGGAGGGGAGAAGCTCATCTCTAACACTCCAACTCCACCAGCAACCCTGTGCACTGGGGCTCATCAGTAACACTGACTCAGCTCTGCAGGTCTGTGGAGAGCGGGACTGACACATGGCTAATTGCCACAATTGTTTTGGGGGAGGGTTAGTTGATCTGGCATGCACACCCTAAATTGCTTGGGAAGTAGAACTCCCTAGGACATGCTGATGTGAATCTACAGCAAGAGCCCGAGAGACTGCTGGCTGTTTTACCACTCTATACCTGACAGAAGCCCTTCAAGAGTGATGGGGAAGGCTTGTATCTTGACCAAGCTTGACCCTAGGTAAAACCCTGGGGGACACCTGGGAGGTGGTTCTGCTACAGCTTTCTCCCATGGAAGGAGATCAGTGTAGCTTTTAACCTTGAGTTCATCTTCATTACTAATGAAATGAAATGTCCTTTCAGCGTGCTACACAGCAAAGTGAAGGTGAGAGCACAGTCTGTGCAGTACTGCCTTGCTGTGTTAAGTTAGCACTCAAGATTCACCCTGGACAAGCATTCTATTCCCTCTTATGTAGAGGACTTAGGATGGTTGTGTGCTTTAGTTTCTAGTGTAGGCTGAAACCAGTTGCTAGTTTCAGAGCTGTTGGCCTTGCTAGTGATGGGAGGAGTGCTGCCATGTGCTATACCTGCACCTTGACTTGCTGTGCAGATCATAGATCCTTTTTTAACCAGTACACTCGTAAACTGAGCCTCTTTATCCCATAGTAGCTTGGTTGTTGCATCTAGCAAGTGCCTGCTCGGACACTGTGTGGCCTAACACACAACAGCTTTGTGTCCAGCTGTCTTAGCCTCTCGTTGCCTGCAGTCCTGTTGTCCTGTAAGTTACTGGTTGCTTGCCCTGGTCACTGTCTGCCTTGCCTTGAAAGTGTTGCTCCTTGCAAAAGATCTTTAACCGAGGAGCACAGGAGGTTGCAGGACTACAAAGCCTGAAGAAGCCCTTGGAGTGGGTCTGATGCTGCTAACGGGTGCTTACAGCGATGGGTTGAAGAGGCTGGTGGTACATAGTACTGGGAAAACTGTAGATCTGACCCCAACCTGACAGGCAGCAAAGTGCCTGGAAGAAAAATACCAAAACTAGAGCTGGCTGAGGTTCCCAGGTATAAATATCATCTGAAACTTGAATACTGAGTAACTGTACCAGACAATCATAAGGTAAACTGTTAAGTCTCTCCTGGACTCTTACGGCGTTATAGACCAAGCTCTCTTATGTGCTGGTTTTTATAAGCACTCCTCTTTTATTTGTTTTTGAGCTAGAGGAAAGGAAAAAGGGAAAATAAGGAACTTGAAACAACTTGTTAGAGTAACCAGCATGTCTGTGAGAGGCTGGGGTATAAGTGGAACTAACTGGAAGACTTGGCTGAGATCTAGGGAAGTTCTTCCTTAGTTGTGCCTTTTACTGAAGACTTCTCTCCCTTCCTAGAACTCCTGTCCTGTGGCAACGTTAATACTTCTATTACAGTGTGGGGCTTTTCTTTATGTATAAGAATTGGTGTTTGTCCGGAAAGTGTGTCTCTTGCTTCCTTGCTTTGCATCCTGCACTGAGCTCTGCCGAGAGTCTGATTCCTGCCTCCTGTATTTGGAGCCCCTGCTGCCGCACTGCCAGTGCCCTGCAAGCCGAGAGCCGGGGCACTGAGCAGCGGCGGCAGGATTTTCAGCAGCGTTTGTGTTTAAACCTGATGAAGGAATTAAACTTTTATTTAAAAACCATGGCCTCTGCCTGTAAATGCTTCTAAAACCTGACAGAGGGGAGGGTCATCTGAGCTGGGCCACCTGCAAGTAAATCATGGAGTAATGTTAGTTGGGAGGCACCCTGGGACATCATCTGGTTTGAACCTCTTGACAGTGAGGTTCAGCTCGGCTGCGCTCACATCACCTGGATGGGAAAAGCTTGGGACCAAGCTACTGCTCTTAGTAGGTAGTGGCTTCTCTCTGTATCTGATTTCCTGGACTTCATTCTTAGAGCTGGCAGCGCAGCTTCTCTCGTGGTGTTCAGTTACGTATCTGAGCAAATCTGTTCACATAATGGTTAGGTGGGGGAACTCACAGCGAATGTGAATGTTCATGTGCCCGGGGAGCTGAAGCTAATGCAGGGTGGGGATGCCCGAGCCACTGAACACTGGGTTTGCCTTGCAGCAGAGAACTCGTCCACTGTCAGAGGCAAGATGAGACATTGGTCACGTTGCTCTCGCAGCAGCACCCTCCTGCTGCTTCTCCCTGTGCCATACAGTGTACAGGTGACTTCTCGGCTCCTAGAGTTGGTGTTTCTGTGACCTAGAGAAAGCAGCAGCGTGCCTCCCTGTTGGTGAGCAACAGGGGATCAGTAAGAGTGGACAGCCCCTTTAGGAACTGAAAGGAGTGGCAAAATCCATGGGAGGAGTGAGCCCTGGTGGAAGACAATGGCCCCCTGTGCTACCTGCCCTGGTAGAAGGCAATGGTCTGGAAGGAGGATGGGGTTAAAAATGGGCAGGAAGATGCTGACTGGGGAGCTGTGGGACTGGCTCACAGCCCAGCAGCGGTGGCTGAAGGGTCTCGGGGCCGGGCTGCCTGTCCCTGCAAGGAGGAGACTGAAATGAAGTGATCAGGTAGAGAAAACCTTCTGTAGACAAGAATAAAGCATTCCTGGAAATGGCTACGAGTGAGGCTGTGTCTGAGCCCTGACAGCCTTGTTCTGAGGGAGATTGAAACCTCATCTAAAATGGCTGTCAGTCACTCTCTTCTATTTCAAGCAGGGCTGTGTTTGCTTTCCCCTTCTGTGTTGATGTCTCAGTTCTTTCATTATCAATTATTGAAAGCAGAAACACCAAAGTGCATGAGGAAGAAGCAGGTTGTGCAGTTCTGGGAGGCTTTGCGGATTTGTCAGGGTTCAAAAAGCTGCTGGTGGGATATAAAGTCTTTTCTTTACGCAAGGTGGCTTTGAAAAGCTCCCCACACCTTGTGCACTGTGAGTGCAAAGGGCTCTAAGGCTGCCCTGGCTGTGGTTTGCAGGAGCGTGGCTGGCTCGGGGAAGGGGGAGCTCCCTTTGGAGCGTGGCCATGGCCGGGGCTTTGTACCCGGCCAGACAAAGACCCGTCTGCAACGCGCTGCAGCGTGGAGGGGATGGAGCACATCGGCCAGCGCTGCACCGCGGCTGGGTGCGTGCAGCCAGCGCCGGCGAGGGGCTGTGCATGGGGAGGGTGAGGATGGGACCGGGGCCTTGCACACTCGCTGCCTGCTGGGGACAAAAGCCACAACAGGCTGGGCAGCATCCGCCAAGGAGATGCATGTGGAGAAGAGGCAGGGGGAGAGGGGGAGGGCGGGCCGCGGGGGG